TTAACCATTTTTGGGAAGAATTGATCTTTCTGTGTGTTTCAGACAGACTGAAAGAGGGGAGGCCCGTCGCTGTAAATTGAAGTGACATCATATGTATTGCCCCCATTGATCCGCTTTTAGTCTCCAGCCAGGATAAAAGGAAATGGCATCAGGGAGGAAGCATGCTCCATTTAGGCACAGATCCCAGAGTGATAATGGGGTAATAATAGAACTCACGCCACTGTCAATCGGTGGCTGCATTAGTCCCAGACTCATTCCCTGTCTGGGGAGCCGTGCGGTGACTTTCTTCGTGTGCGTGTGCGACTGCAGCATGCCAGCTGGGCTGTGCCGGAAGGTCCCCTTGTTTGCTTTGAGAGGGTGCAGGCAATGGGGCTCGGATATTTGTGAGCGCTGGTCCCTTTTCACGGGTCCTGCCTCTGGAAGGTCAGCCGTGAGACGTGTCCGTGGCATTTTCTGATCTAGGAGGTGAGCTGGCCTTTTCGGCGTCATGCTAATGGAAGAAACGGTGGAGGGGCCTCAGTTGTGTGGGTGGTCTTCTGGGAGCTCGGAGAGAGCAATGCCCCTCGTGACAGCAGTAAGAGGCTTCTGGAAGAGTCAGGGTTTTTTCTTTGTGTTGCTTGTAGGTTAGGAGGGTAGGTTTGAAAAATTCCTATTTTCTTTCCAAGAGCCTGTGTAGAAACTCTTTCAGACCATTCAAAGTTATGCAGTTTGCGTCTACTCTTAAGTTGACCAGGAAAAAAACAAAATAGACTTTTTTCCCCCTTTATACATTTCTCAGCAATTAACAACTATGAAATCGTCCATATTTAGAGCAAGAATACAGACTTCTAAAATCGTTAACAAGCAGCATTTGTACTTGACTGATCTCCCTAGCATTTTATTCATTTGAGTAAGTTTTACAGTCCTGTGAAGTTCTCTCTTTCAAGTACTCACATGACTTTGGCATCCCATAGCCTTATTTTGTCTAAGTTTCTAAGGCAGATGCATTTTAAAAATACTGAGCTGGTCTCCATATGGAAAAAATAATAACCCCGTCATGAATTCCTTGTTTGTGCAAAGGAAAGAACTTTCTATTTCTGTCAGCATTGAACTGTGAGTGTGAGCACTATTAGACCCCCAGAAATAAAGGCAAGTTCTTTTTATAATGTTAAAAAGAGCTGCTTTCTTAGGAAGGAATGCTCAGAGACGTACTTTATTTTTCTTGATCACTCCATAGTATGACTAAAGCCATATCTGTCTCCCACAGTACTGCTGTATTAAAACACAGTTGGTCTAGAAGTCATGTGAAATTTAATTTGATTTCTACGTGGGTGGGAGTGGAATGATCCACACGACATTTCCCATCACCCCTGTGCCAGCTGCCAGGGCTGGTCTCACTGCCCAGCACTGCCTCTGAGCACATTTGCTGGTATATGATATCTTTCACTTGCTTTACAAACATTTTAGCTTATGACGTATCATTTCTTTTTCATTGTAGGGTGGTTTTACAGGGAGCAAATGTTTATTTTACAAAGAGAAATGTGCTGTATTCAAGTAGCTACTTAACCTCATTTTTGCTTTACTATCCTCTTTTTAAGGTCTGTTAATCTCATTTTTTAAAAATGTTAACTTATTTATGAGTAAAGGATGCTTAATTAGTTTTATTGTCTGCCTCCTCAAACAGCATTTGTTCACTGATTTTTTTCTTCCTTTTTCATTGTTTAGAAACTACATTTTCCCCCCCAGGAATTAGAATTACAGCTGAAAGCCAGATGGCTGCAGGTTGTTTACTGAGTGAGCGTCATTTCTGTAAGTCTATTCTAAAGAGTTGGACTAGCAGAAATCTCCCGGCATTATGGAGGAATGTTTTCAGCGTGGTTGTGTTGGTCCTTGTTGAGTTCTGCCTGCCTGTGAACAAGCTGGCTCTTGCAGCAGTCTGTCGTTGGTGCCTTATTGAAGGAGGAGCAGATACCTGAAGGGGGGCGTGTCCACCCTTGCTCTTTACCTCGCTCCAGTTACACTTATTCACGAACCCTAAGGATTTAGCCACACATGTACTCCCTCCCTTCCATCTCAGCTATCTGCCTTACCTCACAGGCGTAGCTTTAAATACTTCCATTATGTAAAATTTGGAGAAGACAAAAAACTTCCAGTGATTCTTTCAGTTCTGTTTCAGTGTGCAGATGTGTGAACTTTCTGCTTAGAAGAAAAGTCTGAGAGATATACCAGTATGAATCCAGGTATTTTGATAGGTTCACATATTAATATTTGTTTGATTTTAAACTGGAGCTGTGTTTATTTGTTGCAGTTGGGGTAAGTTGAGGACCAAGCTAGTTGTCTTACTCAAGGGTTTTTTTTTTTTTCTTCTCTGTGGGTCTCTTTAGTTTAAACCAAGTCCCAAATGAGAGTTCTAACAATAGGCATCTTTGTAAGTGCAAGCACATAATAGGGAGATGCTTTTCTTTCTACTCTTTCTTTCCCTATAATTCTGCAAATTGGTGGGGCTGGTTCTTTCTGTATTTAGTTAGCAAACGAGGCCCCCATCCTGGGCAGTGGATGTTCTGCGCTGGATCAGGCCTTGTCACTGCCAAGAATCGCTTCTCTGTTGGGCCGGGTTTTTTCCCAGAAGCCTGCCTTCCTGTGTCTGGAGGGGCCTCAGTCAGCGTCACGCTCCTGTTGCGCTCTGACTGGCTGCCTTTAGAAATGCTGCCTTACCTGTTTTGAGAGTGCCTGTGGAGGTGGGATGCAGGGCAGGCTGGGCTACTCTGACCCAGTCTGGGCCCTTCCCATACCTACATATTGCTGGGGGTTCTTGTCCCTGGAGTGTGGCACCCTCCCTTTGCCCAACCCCTGCAGAGGGAGGTAGGGTACTGTGGTGAGGGGTGCCCAGGCCAGGCCACCCTGGAGTGGGGAACCCAGAGGAGCACACTTTGGCAGTAGCAAAACAAAGGGAAGTAGGAGGGTGGGATAAGGAAGGCCCATGTTTGGAAAGGGAAGACGCTGTGAAAGGGTTCATTGCAGGAGGGTATCTGGTGAGCAGCTTTCAGGGAGGGAATGGGTAGGGTGCGCACAAGGCCATGGGCTGAAGACTCGGCCTCCAGCAGAAAAGAACCTCCCTTGGCACATTGAAGGACCTTGCAGGGTGAGATGGGTGGGGAGGAGGAGAAGAAGGGCAGAGGGAACTGCTCCAGCCAGGACAGGAGGAGCCAGCAAGAAAGGCAGAGAACTAGGTTTCAGCTGGGCTGCCTGGTCAGGAGGGCCATGAGGCTGGATGCCCCACATGTACCTACCTCTGAAAGGTGGTCATGGTGCGAACAGGTGAGGGGGCTCACCAGAGGCTTGGAGTCCTGGGTTTGGCCTCTTCTATAAAACAGATTTCTTTTTAATATCATAAAAGTAGTCTCATGTGTCTATAGAATATGGTAAATTGGTGGTTTTTGTTACTAGTGGCTCTGTAGTAATTTGATGTTTTTAAAACATCTTACAAGCACTGACTTCTCATGAAAAGAAATTAAGAGTTCGTAGTTCTTTGAGTCCTTGTGTGTAGAACTTCACAGGTCAGCACTAATTGTAATGTGATTTTACTGAAGGCACCTTGTTTCTCCTATCAGCCTGAGAGACTGTCCACAGCATGACTTTCCAATGGAGTGATGTTATGAAACAAACAGACCCAAGAACCAAGCATTGTGCATCTGTGTGTGTCTGTCTACCTCTCTGTCTCTATAGGAAAGTGGGGTTTTGTTAAAACTTGGAAGGGGGAGAAGAGGAAATGTAAGAAATGCATTCTTTGTGGAATTACATGGTGGATGTTGCAGTCTCCCTGCGTGTGCATCTTGACAAAGCGTGTTTGTGTGTGAATGAGTGGCGGGGGGATGTTGGAGGACGGGAGCCAGGCAGAGCACACACCTGAGGGCAGAAAGATGAAGGAGGGGAAGGAGAGAAGCCAGTAATTTTTAAAATTTCTTTTAGAGTAATAGAAAGTGGCAGTTAAAATCCAAGTGTTCATATGAATTTTTTATCAATCTGCTATTGGCGTCCAGACCTGTAAATTTGAGTTAGTTGACAGGAATTATCTGGGCATAAGCAGGGATAGAGACAAGCTAAGTGTAGAAAATGGTAGAGTTAGTAGTAATAATTTTTAAACCTTGATTTTTAGAATAAGATATTTTTCAGTTCCTATGAGGTGTATCTTAAGTTGACTTCTCCAGTGGGCTGCTGTGCGAGGCAGTGCTGCCAGTCTTGGCACTGTGGTACCCAGATGAGTAAGTCGAATGAAGTCTTACTCTTCAGTTCTTGGATTTCACAAATATGGTTTGCTTTTTATTTTTGTACCACACAAAGACTTCCTCTTCTCTTTGCCCTTAACTGGTAATACCACTTTTGACCTTTCTTATCTGAAAATTCAGGAATATGGGTGACCTTGCATGTTTGTGTTCTGTGTATATAGCTATATGTATAATCATTTGTACAACTTTTTACAATTTTTTAGTGGAGCGTAAACTTACAATTTTTATAATGGAGGAAATACATGGTTCTTGTTTCATTATTCTTTATTTTTCATTGTGCAGCAGGTGTATTTGCAGGGTTCATTTGCTAGAGAAGGAAATCTGAAAGCTGCTTATTTCTGTTAAATATCCATGTGTTTGCCTAAAATTGGATGGTTTCTTGAATCTTTGTCTAGGCTAAATTAAATTTTTTGGCATAAGCATGCTATAAAGGAAGGGATCTGATAAACCACAATAATGTTTTATGAAGATAAGCACAGTTTTGATCTGCTCTAAGTATAGAATTGGGCTGAAAAGTCTTGGGAAACAGGGCTTAATCAGACCCCAGAATGCAGTGTCTTTGTGGGATATAGACAATGTATACCCTGAGGTTTTACAAAATTCAACTTGGCACTCCTCCCACGTTTCAGACATATGCCCAGGTTACCCTGGATTTACTCTCTTTGGTCTAAACGTTTGTGTTTAATTTCTCATCTGCTGAATGGCATTTCACATGCTGTTTGGTTTTGCCCTCAGCTTCTTCCAGACCAGCTGGTCTTGCTTCTGGAGCGTCTCTTGGAGCAGAAGACCTTGAACCCCCGAACTCTGCAAAGCCTCCAGAGGACCTACCACCTCCATGATCAGGATGCCGAGGTAAGCAGGAACGCCTTCAGAGTTTAAACAGCAGATCCCCACTTTTGGTGCAAAGAATGATGATCCCATTGTAGTCCCAAACTATTGGAACTACCATTTCTATTAGCAAAATTCCATGTGTTTGCTGTATGAGTAAAGACTAAGTGCTTTGGGCAAAGCTAAGCCGCTCCCCTCGGTGTGGTTGCTCCAGCAAGGGCCCTCTGATCATGCTTGTGCTGCTAACCAGAGTATTTTGAAATCCTGTTTTTCCCTCTTCTTAAATCGTAAAGACAGAATAGGTCTCCTAAAGAAAGGAGCAAGCAGAATGGAGTGTTTTTGAGCTATAAACTTGGGCGGGTCATCTTGCACACTGATGGTGGCACCTTCCTGTTGCACATTAAGGAAACTTGGCTCAGATACGTCAGAGCTTCTTGGTTGCCTTCAGTTAGGACAGGAAAGCAGCCATGTGTAAAGGAAATGAAAACTGAATCTAGCAGCCGTGGTTTGAAAATTAAAATTGGATCCTTGTGGGAAAGCAATATGATGTAGTCCCTAATATCTTTTACCTTATTGTAAGGCATGCAATGTGAATCCTAAGATGAATTCTGGGGTATTTTTAATATAAAATAATAAATATTTAATGTATTCAGTCATCTTAAGTAAAAAAAACAAGAGCTCAAGGAGAAATCTCTTTTATATAAAATTCCTAAAATGCTGAAAACTCAAGTAAGCTTGGTTCGTATTCAGTTGAAAGTAACTCTGAACATTTTAAAACTGCAGTCTAGTACAGCAGCCATTAGCCACATGTGACTACTGAACACTTGAAATGTAGCTATTTTGAATTGAGATGTGGTATAAATATAAAGTTCACAGTGGATATTAAAGGCATCAAATAAAAAAGCAAAATATTGTAATAGTTTCTGTTGATAATGTCGAAATGATATTCAGGGTATATTGGTTTAAACGAATTTCACAGTCATTAAACTGGAGTAAATTGGCTGGGCACAGTAGCTCACACCTAGAATCCTAGCACTCTGGGAGGCCAAGGCAGGAGGATTGCTTGAGGCCTGGAGTTTGAGACCAGGCTGAGCAAGAGCAAGACCCTGTCTCTACAAAAAATTAGAAAAATTAGCCAAGCATGGTGGAGAGCACCTGTAGTCCCAGCTACTTGGAAGACTGAGACAGGAGAATCGCTTTGAGCCCAGGAATTTGCGGCTGCAGTAAACTCTGATGATGCCACTGTACTCTAGCCTGGAAGACAGAGCAAGACCCTGTCTCAAAAAACAAAAAAAACAAAAAAAAAAAGAGTAAATTGATAAAAGCCAGTTCCTTATTAACTTAAGGTAAAATGGACATTGTTATGCATTTTAAAGTCCCATAAATTCAGGAGTAATTGAAAAATTCCAAGAAGACACTCATAACTTCTTATTCACCTGAGCATAGATCAAATGTGCAACTGTTGCTGTTTATTTCAGCTCTTATATTTTTGTTTATAGGAGTTTCCAAATGCCAGATTGTTATATTTAATTAGTGTTTAAAATACCTTCCTATTTATAGGCATTGGGCTATGTTTTAATGGGAGCTGAATACCACTGAAATGCCAGGACCCTGTGATGGGCACGGACAGACCAGGGCGGGAGGATCAGAGCAGGCGCTGGGCACCTGTCACTTGATGTCCGGAAGCCATGAGGTGGGAGTCCCAATTCCACCCCCATCCTTTGGGCATAAAACACATCCTGTTCTTAACTTACAGCTCAACTTAGTTGTTAAAACAAGCAAGCAAATAAAACCTTCGAGAAGTGTAACAGGTTTTATTTGATTGCTTGTTTTACATCTTACAAGCTGTATCATGATTCCCAGACAGGGCAGTCTCTTCAGTGTGGATCCCTGGTAATGAGAGACAGGGGTCTGAGTACATCTTTGCTCAGTTTATATAACTAATATGACCAACGTTCATGCAGTTCACAAATGCTCTGCTAGGAACTAGGAACATAGCGGTGGAAACGACAGGCAAGGGAGCCTGTCTTGTGAAAAGACAGCTCATAAGTAAATCAACAAGACAACTTCAGGTAAGAGCTGTGAAGGAGGTATACAGGGAAGAGTTAGGCTAAGTTTCTCCGGATAGAAAATTTGGGAAAGGTTACTCAGAGATAGTGACATTTTAGCCAGGACCTAAAGACAAGAAGGAGCTGTCTGTACAAAGCCAAGGGTCAGGGTAGTTTCTGTACAGAGATGACAGCAAGTTCAGAGGTATCAACTTGGCATGTGCTAGGATGGGAGTCGGCAAACTTTTTCCACAAAGGACTGGATAGTTAATATTTCAGGCCACACAGTCTCTATTGCAACTATTCAACTTTGTTGTTGTAGGGCAAAAGGTGCCATAGACAATATGTGAACAGACAGACGTGGCTGTGTGCCAATAAATTTTTTATGGACTCTGAAACATGACTTTCATATACTTAACACATCTCAAGATAGTCATGGTCTTTTTTCCCCCTGTTACTTTTTAAAACTATCTGAAAGCATACACACCGTTCCTAGCTATGGGCTGACTTGGGCTGCCCCACAGGGGTTTGCAGGCCCCTGTTCCAGGGCCTGCAGGGATGAGGTCAGGTGAGCAGGAGCCAGAATGGGGCTGTCGGGGCTTAAGGCTATGGTGCACATCTCGGGAAGTGCCTCCACCCCAAACCCTCAAGGTCCTGGCAGGTGGCTAGTCACACTGACGCTTATCTCACTGTGAGGTTTCCTTGAACTGCCACTCAAAACCAGAAAAGCAACAGGATTTTGGCCAACCCGGGTATTTTCTAGAAACTTTATTAGTTAAGTGTGATTTATATTGACACTGATTAACAAGAATTTAGTTGAGTAATCATCTGCCTTTATTTTAAGTGACAGAAAATTTCATGGGAGAAAGAATTATTACTTGGTAGGAAAATCTCAAGGATCCTGATCTTTATTCTCATTTCTTCTTGATTTAGCAAACAAGGATAGTCCCGTCCAGTTATCAGGGCTTTTAGACATGGGATGCATAGCCATCATTTGAACGGTGGCTAGAGATACTGGAGTGAGGCAGGCTGTGTACTCAGTGTCCCTGTGGAAATGGCTCTAGAGGGGTTTCCTGGCAGGGAGCAGTGTGATTCTGATGCTCTTTGCTCAGGGTGCTGCCCCAGGACCTTGGGACCACAGCGTTGAATTAGATGTCTGGTGCAGAAAGACACCAGCCTGGGATAATGGAGTATTTCTGTAGTACAGAGAAGGGACGCTGGTGATCGGCTGGTGGAAAGGGGCATTTCTTTACCTGCTTTGTCTGGGTGTGCCCTTGTATTTATTTCCAAGATATGCAGAAAGGCTCCCCTTGCTCTCCTGTTGACTGGCCTTTTTCCTCAAAGCATGCATGTGAAGTCACCTTTGTAGAAGGCGAGCCTGCTGTTATGTTCTTAGATGCGGCAGTGTTGCTGTGTTCACCTGCTCATGCCCCTCATTGCCAAAGTGCACTGCAGAGTTCTTTTGTTGGCTGAATAGTGCGATCTGAATGTAGCATGTTCCTGAGGTAGCCTGTCAAAAGAGCCTGGACTGTGAGAAACCTGGCCAGATGGCACGAGGGAATGGGGGCTCTCTGTTCCAGTGGTTGCTTTAGCTTCTGGGCCATCGTCCCTGTTTGTCCCTTTGCTCCTTCCTCCCTTCTCAGTCCCACCCACACACGGAAGGAAGGAAGGAGGGAGCTTTATTTTCAACTGTTCTTCTTGTGTGTGTCCGTACTTGTATTGCTTCTGTGTTCCAGCTGTGCTCCCAGGTCAGATCTGTGGGTCAGAATCTCTGAACATGGACTGAATCTGAGGATGCTGCTTGGCGGGTATTTGCATGTTGGGGGTTTGTAGGGACCAGCCTTCTGATTACCGTTCCAGGTTGTAATGTACCCTCTGCACTCCCACCCCGTGTGTGCGTGCATCATGCGGTGTGGATAGGCAGGTCTGCTCTGGGGGGAAGTGGTGCCCATGTTCAGAATTCTGAAGGAAGCATGCACAAGGACAAATGAAGTCAGAAGGTGGCTGGATCAGGGCATACCGGCCTAGGCCACCTTATGCTTTGCCGCCCTCTGCAGGGTGGGACAGGAGGGGCACCTTTACATTCCTTGGCCTGCAAAGTGAAGGTTGCTGCAGGAATCGGCCATCTTTCACACACCAAGTCTCAGACTGCTGCCTTATGCTGGGCTGCTTCAGCTAGGAAGGAAAATGAGCTGACGGGAAATTTAGTCTAAAGGAGCACCTGTCTATGATTTTTGAGTATATTTCTCAAATAGCCATAAAAGTTTAAAAATATATTTGACAGTCGATTCTGAGAACAAAAGATGTTTTCTAAGATAGATCCCTTTTTAAATAGCAGATTCCTTGCCTGCCTTAGCAGGTCTCTTAACTGTAAACTAGCTACCCCCGGTAGTGAGGTGAGCGTTGCTGGAACCTGGCTTTGCGACCTCTTTCCCCAGAATCCCACAGCTGACCTCAGGCAACTTTATTTCTATAGACTATGCTGAGCACTTTGAAATCTGGGGCATGCCTCAGGTGACAAAACCTCCCAGCATCATTTTGGTGGTGCCGCTAACTAGAAAGTTCCACACTGTGGCATGCTCTGCTCTGATGTTTCAGTTCATATGCTGAGCAAGAAAACTAGTTTTCTGGGAGGAGCCATTAGCAGCATCAGTTTGTCGCCTCACTATTTTGGGGGAAATACTGTTGGTTGAAAGGAAGAGGTTGAAAGGAAGAGGCCCCCTGGATTGGATTGGAGCGAGAAAGTGCATCAGTGTCTGTCTTCCCAAGGATGCGGCCTTCACTGCACGTCTCCCTTCAGGGTACTGCCCTCATGCCTGGCCTCACGTGCAGGGAAGGATGGTACCTGCTCATGTGCATGCGAGCGGCTCCTCCGTTTCTTGATCTCATCTAAACACTCGGGCCAGCTGAATACCTGGTACTGGCTGAGGCGCGTTGACACAGCAGTGAGCTGGATTCCAGTCCTGGGGCCCCAGC